AGAGTGAAAGACCTTTACAATGAGAACTACAAAACACTGCTCAAAGAAGTCCAAGAAGACACAAACAAATGGAAAAATATTCCATGCTCATGGACAGGAAGAATCAACATTGTGAAGATGTCCATCCTACCAAAGGCAATCTACAGATTCAGTGCAATACCCATTGTATTACCAATATCATTCTTCTTAGACCTGAAAATGACAATATAGAAATGCATATGGAAACATAAAGGACCATGAAGAGCCAAAACAATCCTTAGCAAAAGAAACAAAGCAGGAGGTATCACATTTCCAGACTTCAAATTTACTATAAGGCTATAAGTAAACAAAACAGCCTGGTATTGGTACAAGAACAGGCACATAGACCAGTGGAACAGGTTAGAGATTCCAGAAGCAAAGCAATTTCTCAACCAACTCATCTTTAACAAAGCCTCTAACAACTACTGGGGAGAGGAGAACCTATTCAGTAAATGGTGCTGGAAAAACTGGCTGATCACGTGCAGAAGATTGAAATAAGACCTCTACCTATCACCGTACACAGACCCATAAACCCAGCACTTTGTGAGGCTAAGGTGGGAGGATCGCTTGAGCCCAGGAGTTCAAGACCAGCCTGGGCAATATAGAGACTTTGTCTCTACAAAAAAAAAAAAAAAAAAAGCCGGGAGCGGTGGTGGATTCCTATAGCCTCATTTACTCAGGAGATCAATACTGTGATGAGCTATGCATGTGTCACTGCACTGCAGCCTGGATGACAAAATGAGACTCCAACTAAAAAAGAAAATATTTAAGGCCGGGCATGGTGGCTCATGTTGTAATCCTTACACTTTGGGAGGCCTAGGTGGGAGAAGATCTCTTGAGCCCAGGAATTTGAGACCAGCCTAGATAGCATAGTGAGACCTTGTCTCTAAAAAAAAAAAATTAATGTGGTGGGGGGTGCCTGTAATCCAACTACTTGTGAAGCTGAGGAGGAGGGGTGGCCTGTGCCAAAAAAATGTATACACATTTTAAGAGGTGTTATCTATGTATTACTTTTTGGAGTTGAATTGAATTACAGCAGCGTGTGAAGAGTGATGTTCTCTCGAAAGATGGTGTTACTCAAATGAATGCCGGTGTCACCATTCAACAGGCGGGACAGCCAGAGAAGATAGTGGAAGCATGGTTGTCGCTCAAGGAGCTCAAGACCATTCTGAAGTGGTATTTGAAATCTGAGAACATTGTAGAAGTACAGTGACAATGGCGGCATGAGTCTGCAACAGAACCTTCATCATGCCTAACAATTACACGCATCGGTCATAACTCTGAGACACATGGTACTGTGCGTGGTGTGCACAAGGGAAAATCCAGGAGCCTTCACAGTAATAGTTTGTTGCAATCAAAAGTGGCTGGACACTGATGGCAAGCACTTTGAGGACCTCTTGTAATTGCAGAAGTCAAATGTGACTTGTATTCATCTTTTGCTATCACATATATATGTATATTTTAAATTTAAATTTTTATTTTTGAGTTGGACTCTCACTCTGTTGCCCAGGCTGGAGTGCAGTGGCACGCTCATGGCTACCACAGCCTCGACCTGCTAGGTTCGGGTGATTCTTCCACTTCAGCCTTCCAAGTAACTGGAACCACAGGCGTGTGCCACGCCTGGCAATTTTTTGGTTTACTGTAGAGACGAAGTCTCACCAAGTTGCCCAGACAGGTTTCGAACCCCTGGCCTCAGGCAGTCCTCTAGCCTCGGCCTCCCAAAGTGCTGGGATTACGGGCTTGAGCCACTGTGCCCGACTGGTATATATTGAGTACTACAATTTTAATATAGTTTTTCTCTTCTTAAATATGTATACATTTTTGGCACCCTCTGTATATACATATGTTTTAAAGTCTAAAAATAAACCTACCTTTATTGTAGATGTCAATATATTGTTTAATTTCTCCCTTACTTATAAGATTTCCATCCCTTATTTGTTTAAATAAATAATTTGCACTAGTTTGATGCAAATGGAGTTATAGTAAATAAAATTGAAACAATTTAAAAATATTCATGATAGTTTGAAAGGTCTGCAGTAAATTAAAACTGTGCCTTTTTTTCCTGCCAGGGGTCTCTTTATCAGCATCCACGATCGAGGGCATATTGCCTCAATTCTTAATGTGTGGCCAGAAGATGTCATCAAGGTGAGTTATCAGATTTTTCCAGTGTGTCAAATTTGTTCTTTCTTCTGTCCCATACAATATTTAAAACATTGACAGTCCTCAAATAGTTAGCATTCCCTTGCCGTTCTGGTGACTATCGCCTGTTACATCCCTCTGATTTTGGCATGGATTACTTTTATTATTAATTTCATTCTGATGCCATTATTTCTGCCTGATTGCTTAGTTTAAGTGATGATAAATGCTGACCACGCAGTAGTATCTGAATTTCCTTAAGAAAACCCCTTTATCGTATTTGCTGGGTTGAAGCACCCTCGAGGAGGAATCCAAGTAGGCAGAACAATCTGTTGATTCGTTTCTTTTATCACGATGGCCCTAACTAGCTGACTTGACCCTCCGTGGGTGAGCTAATGAAAGTAAGCGTCACAGCCGCACGCGACACTTGTGGCTTTCCGTCCGAGACGCGGGGCGTGGATCACTCTTGTGACTGTCATGGCGCGTCAGTGAGGAAAGGAAGGCGCAGGCGGTCGCACCGCAGTTCAAGTGGGGCCGGGGCCCCCGCTGCCCGCACGCAGTGTCGTTCCCGTCTGGAGGGGCGTGCACGCGGCTCCCCTCGCGGCTCCGCTTCTCTTTCCTTTTGGGTTCCGGGCAGCTTGGTGGGATCTTCTAGGGTTCAGACGGGATGGTGGCTGCCCTTGGGGTGCAGAGGCCCTGCAGCTGTAACTTCTGAAGTGTGACTCCTGTGCCATCGTTTCTTTTGGGCTGTTGTGGCTGGAATTGGTTCCTGTGGCTCTCTAAGGCTCCTGCTGGGAAAACTTGTCAGAACGTTTTTACCACGTCCAGTCTCCTTAGTTTTTCCACTTTCTCCACCTGTTACTTCCTCAACTTCTCCCGTCAGCTAGACTGCAGGACTCAGACCCAGTTCTTAGTAACTACCCTAAGGAATGTCTTAGTTCTATTAAGCGTAACTATCTGATGATCTAAGAATGAAATTTGCATTTTAATCAGGAATCTGGAGGAGATTTTAGGAATCCACAGGTCAGCAGAGGAAATAGTTTTGGAGTAGAGAGTTCCAGTCAGCATCCCTGTAATCATAACAGCTAGGAGGCAGACACTCACCCTGCTTCATGTTCTTCTCACTAGCTGATCTCCACACATTTGACTATTCATAGCCTGCCTTTATCCTTCGTACTCTTAATATTGGACCCTCATCAGTGCTCTTGATCCTAACTCTGTGCACCATTATTTAGAAAGCCTAGCATAGTGTCTGACACATAATAGGCATTTAATAAATGGCAACTGTTAATTGTAGAAGACCATATGAGTTATACTTATAATGTAGTTCTAGTGTAATTAGAAAAAAGACAATCAATTATTAGACAAAACATAAACTGCGTGGTATTATGATTGCCACCATGTTAATTCATTCAGAAGAGAGTGTTATACAGAGAAGGCTGGAGTATTTAAGACATTTTTAGAAAAGTTGGGACTTAAAATCCATAAGAAGGGAACATATGAATGCAGGTATCGAGTTCAGAAAGAGAATGGCGTGTCCTTAGACAGTAAGGAAATTGGCTGGCCTGACTAAAGCTGAGTGTTAATACTGAAATATAGTATAATCAAGATTCCTTAAGTAGGAGGTGATCAAATAATTATAAAAGATCATAAAATTCTACGCATGTTTATTTAGCACTATTCACAATAGCAAAACATGGAACCAACAATTGTGCTGCCTATCGAAAGTAGACTGGATAAAAAAAAATGTACATATACATGATGGAATATTACACAGCCATGAAGAAGGACAAAATTTTGAATTTTGCAGCCACTTGGATGGATTTAGAATCTATAATACTCAATGAACTATCACAAAAACCACTGAGTACCACATATTTGCACTCATAAGTGGGCCCTAAGCCAGGCTCGGTGGCTCAGTCTGTAATCCCAGCACTTTGGGAGGCTGAGATGAGTGGATTGCCTGAGGCTGTGGGTTCAAGACCTGCCTGGGCAACTTGGCAAGACCTCATCTCTACAATAAATCAAAAAATTAGCCGGGCGTCGTGGCGGCTACTTGGAAGGCTGAGGCGGAAGGATCGCCAGAGCCCAGCAGGTCGATGCTGCAGTGGCCGGGAGCAGCCACTGCACTCCAGTCTGGGTGACAGAGTGAGACTCCGACTCAAAAAAAAAAAAAAAAAGTGGGCCCTAAACAATGATCATAGTACTATAAGAAAGGGATTGGCAACAGTGGGACACTGCCGGGGGTGGGGTGGGGGAGAAGCACAATTCTTCACTAAGAGTACCTGATCTCAAACCAGGCAAAGTGGGGCCAAAGTGTGAAGCCCAAACTTCAAGTGTACAATGACCATTTGTATATCTAGTCCTGAATTGCACCCCACATCTTTAAAATAAATAAATATAGCATGCAAAAAAAAACTAATTAAAAAAAAAAAGAAAAACAGCATGCCATATTTAAACAAGGAAATGGCTCTATATGAGTAATATTTGAGGAAGATTCTTCTGGAAACTGGTTTTGGAATGGGTTTTGAGAGCAGGAAAAGATGCAGAGGTTCTGCATTCAGGCAGGAGACAAGAGAAGAGTGGGCATGTTTCATGCAGAACATTTGAGGGCCCAGATAATGATTCTATAGTGGGATAAAGATTTAATTCTTGAAACACAGATATCATTGATAGAATTGTGGTTGTCTTGCTAGTTTAATCCTGCTGTTGTGACTTGATTATTGTATAGAAAACATCTAGCTGCTTTATTTTTCATAAGCAGGAGATAAAGTAGGCAACAACAAAAGCAAGGGAATGTTAATTTAGTGATCAACTATATAAATGAGAAACTTTTTTATTTCAGAGAATTCTTTCACTGTTAAAATATACTCATGAATGCTGAAATATTTGTGAATTAATGCTTTAAATGTACAGTTGTAATAAGGAATAAACTGTGCTAAAATTTCCAATGTCTCCAAACATTTTAAAAACTTCTCAGTTGCCACGTATATAAATGTTTACACATATTTATGTAATTAAATAGCTCTAGATGAAAGAAGAGCTTAGGAAATAAACATTATGAAGAAACAAAGTTTTTCTTTGACTTTATGTTCAAGGCATATGTTTAGTTTAATGTAGATGAGCTATCAAAAGTAAATGAAAATGTATGCTACTTTAAACTCTTTAAAAAATTTCAAAACTGATAAAAATTGCAGAAACAACTCTCTGGGCTTAAGTGCCTTTTACAAAAACCTGGAAAGCATTATATAAATCATTATTCAGATCACAACTGCATTAAATGATAGTGTTCTTCTGCTTATAAAATATGTCATAAAATTATTTATAAGCATAGGCAGGCCAACTGGACTTTACCTGTGTAAGGAGCATGTTCGCCAATGTATACATTAGCAATGATATATATAAAAGGATGTCTATTTATGATAGTGCAGTAAATAAAGCAAGTCTACTAAATATACATTTGAAGTATTAGGGCTTTGAAATGTGGCCTTGTTTAATTTTAAAAAAATTATCTTTCTCTTCAGTATTTGTCTGTGTTTTTTCTTTTTCTTTATTTTTATTATTGTTTGTGTTTTGACCTTAAGTCAGAGCAAAGTTAACCCAGTGGCATTAGACTGCCTCCTCCAGAAGGGCATGGCCTGCTGACCCAGCAAACAGACATGGAAAATGCTCCAAATGCGAGTATATGGAATACGTGAAAATCATTTTCACTCACCTCTCAAATTTATTTACTTTTAGGCAGTTTTTCAAGAGCTGCGTTATATAGGAGAAAAATAAATTAAAGGAAAAGATCTCACAGGTACCGTTCTATAACAGGCTATGGTGGAAAGAACACTTACCTGGATCTGGTTCTTTGATATTAACCAGGCAAATCACCTTAGGCAACTTATTTTAGCTTTCTGATCTTCAGTTTCCTAATTGGTGGCTCACATCTGTAATCTCAGCACTTTGGGAGGCCAAAGTGGGAGGATTGCTTGAGGCCAGGAGTTCAAGACCAGTCTGGGCAACATAGCGGGACATCACCTTTACCAAAAAAAAAAAAAATTATCTGGGCATGGTGGCATGTAACTGTAGTTCCAACAATTGGGAGATTGAGGTAGAAGGATTGCCTAAGCCCAGGAGGTCAAGGCTGTGGTGAGCCGTGATTGTACCACTGCACTCCAGTCGGGGACAGTGTGAGACTCCAATTCAAATAAATGAATGAATGAATGAGTGGATGGATGAATGGTGTATCGACTGTACTTAGATTCCCCTTAGCTGGATGTGGTGCTTGTAGTACCAGCTACTTGGAAGGCTGAGGCGGAAGGATTGCCTGAGTCCAGCACGTCGAGGCGGTGGTTGCTGTGAGTGTGCCATTGCCCTTCAGCCTGGGTGACAGAGTGAGACTCCGACTCAAAAAAAATTTTTAAATGCTGTGACTCTTTCATTAGTTCTTATGATAATAATAATAACAATTGCTATAGTTTCTTGAGAATTTGTAATATACCAAGTACTATGTTAAGTTATTTATATATTATGATTTCATTTTCTGGAATCATATTCAATTACTAGTATTTATCAATTGCTTACTGTGTATCAAATTCTGTGCTAAGTGCTGGTGTACAGTTAAGAGCAAAACAGAGCTGGTTCCTAATTTTATACATCTACTCTGAAAAGTACATTTATTATTCCTGTTTTACAAATAAGAAACAGAAGCTTGAATCCATGACTTTATCCAGGGCAAAATAACTGACATTTTCCCAAAGTTCCATGGATATGATGAGTGTAGCACTTTGTAGAATCTCTAATATATTGTGTTTCATAAGACTAGTTTTTTTACATTTATATAATGGCCATGAATCACAAATAAAGATGTCGGATGTATTAGTTTTAATAATGATATCGAATGACATAGGATTAAAATCTCCACTTGATTAAGGTGTGTGCTTCATAAATATTTAAGATGATTGGAGATAAGCCAAATGAATGCATTAAGTCTACCTGAAAGATTTTCAGGTAAGAGAAGTAGCAGACTATACTGGGCATCTTTCATACATGGAAGAACACTGTCAAGCGGGTACAGGAGTTAGGGAGAATGGGCCAATTTTGTGAAAAGAGGAGGATGGTACCAGATGCGTAGTCCAAGGATCAGAGCATTTTGGACAGAGGTATAACCTCGTCAGTCTTTCAGCAGTTATGCCGTACTCAGCTGTAGACACTTCTGTGTTTGCACTCAGAGTGGATGTGATTAGTCTCAAAGCTGCCCCAGTGTCTTTTGGTTTCAGTTTGAGCTCCTGTTTTCCTTTACTCTGCAACTTGCTCCTCCTGGTTGAAGACCAAGTTATTTGCTTAGTTTTAGCCTCAGTGTGCATACCCCCTTCTTCCTTCAATAACCTAATTAAACATATACATATACTATATATATACGTCTATAAATATCTATCTATGCAAATGTATCTATAGTTTATTTCTTCTCCCCATTCTTACACGATTACAATCATACAACCTTTTCCATATTTATTCAATTTATGTTTTTTAACAGTATAATTTTTTATTAATAAATATTAACTTCAGGAATGAAGACCAGAAATTGTGCTTCAGGATTTGTGAAAACCTAGTTATAGCTATTTTTTTCTTTTTCTTCTAGGCCATTGTGGTGACTGATGGAGAACGTATTCTTGGCCTGGGAGACCTTGGCTGTAATGGAATGGGCATCCCTGTGGGTAAATTGGCTCTGTATTCGGCGTGTGGAGGGATGAACCCTCAAGAATGTCTGCCTGTCATGCTGGATGTAGGAACAGAAAATGAGGTAGACGATTTCAGTTTCTTGAAAAACGACAGCAGCTCTTGCATCTGAACTTATTCCAGGAGCTTCATAAAACTTGTTCTTTGCCTGACGCTCCCTCTTTTCCGATCTGCCCCCAACTCCCATAAGATGATTCTTCTGGTCTCCTCTCCCTTCTCTGTGATATGACTAATCTTTATCATCTTCCTCAGTGCTCTGTGATGCTTTAGCAGGTACTTACAGCCTATTTTATGGAATCTGTGTTTTATTTACGATGTCATAGTTTTAAACATTGTTGTTTTCATGTCATACAGAAACTCATCCCATAGGAATATTAAATGTAATTAGTCTGAAGTATTCTTCTTTTAAAGCCCTATATTGAACCTGAGCTGAATGACTTGGAGTTTAACTTTTCTCATTCCTACCTCAGTATTTTAGAATCTTAAAGTCAGCTGTTAAGTAGTACATATTTTTACTCATCTTTATTGCTAATATTTAGGATTAGTTATGGGCAATAGATACTAGAAATCAAATGTAGCGTTTTCTGAAATAGACATGAAAGATAATGGCCAGCTGAGGAGAAACTTTTCAAATATATCATTAAATAAGACCTTGATACAAATATGTACACTTTTTTGGGTTGTCTTCTTTGCTCCCTTCTAAAGCAATAATGTGAAATATACTTTTTGTGTGAGCAAAAATATATTTATAAGAGCAACTTAAATGATTATGTTCTTTATACATACAAAGTTACAACATTTTACTGGATCTATGCGTGAGTGCTCATTTAACCTTTTTCTTTTATTTATTTATTTTAAATTTAATTTTTTTGAGTCAAGGTTTCACTCTTTCACTTGTTGGAATGCACCATCATAGCTCACTGTAGCCTCCAACTTCTGGGCTCAAGAGACCCTCTTGTATCACCCTCCTAAGTAACTGAGGCTACAGGGACGTGTGACCACTCCCAACTCATTTTTTGATATTTTGTAGAGATGAAGTCTTGATATATTAGATAGGCTGATCTCGAACTCCTGGGCTCAAGCAGTCCTACCACCTCAGCCTCCCAATGTGCTGGGATTACAGGTGTGAACCATGGTGCCTGGCTTCATTTAACCCTTTTCAAAGGATGCATTTTGATGAAAACACATTGTTTATCTGGCATTTTCTTTTTTATTACTAATAGAAATGGGCTAGAATTGATCAAAGCTGACCTATTTAAACACTTGTCCTGAAATTGTAAATGTACATTGAACACCACAATTTCCTTTTATTTTCTAATAGATTTTAAAACATTATTCTAGATAAACTACGTTGAAATAAAATCAAGTTTAAACATCACAAAATCGATAGCACATCTTAGAAATTATATGGAGAGATTAAGAGGGATAACAAGTGATATAACAGATGTGCAAACATTTAAGAATTCTGTTTTTTGTTTTCTTCTGCTTGTTTGGTTTTTTAGAGACAGGGTCTCACAGCCTTGAACTCCTCGGCTCAAGCCATCCTCCCACCTCAACCCAGTTGCTAAGAGTATGGATGTGCACCAGTATGCCCAGCTAATTAAAAAAATATGGCAGTCTCACTGTGTTGCCCATATTGGTCTAGAACTGTGATTCTCCCACCTAGGCCTCCTGAGTAGCTGTGATTATAGGCATGAGCCACCCTGCCTGGCAAGAATTCAGTTTTAAACCCAGGCTTTTTATTGAGAGATTTTTAGTATAAGGTGGACATAGAAAAAGGTGTACAGTGGTGAAACTGTAACTCTAGGACTCTTGCATTGATAGTGTATATTAGGCCAGGTGTGGTAGCTCAAGCCTGTAATCCCAGCTCTTTGGGAGGCTGAGACGAGAGGATTGCCTGAGCACGCGGGTTCGAGACCAGCCTGAGCAACATGGTGAGAGTTTGTCTCTACAATAAATCAAAAAAATTAATGGGCCATGGTAGCGTGCACCTGTAGTTCTGGCTACTTAGAAGGCTAAGGCGGAAGGATCGCCAGAGCCCAGCAGCTGGAGTGACCATGAGCGTGCCATTGCACTCCAGCCTGGGCGACGAAGTGAGACTCCATCTAAAAAAAAAAAAGAGTATATTAGTTATATGAACTGATGGGTTTCATCAGGGTGGGTCTTAAAATCGCAAGTTGGCTGCTTTTCCGAAGTTTTTACATGATCTTTGTTTCTTTCCTCTTTCAGTATCCAATGCATTTATGTTATTCTGCTTCTTCAGCCTGCAGAACCAATGTCCACCCATTCGTTATGAAATTTCTTACTTTGCCCAGATGTAGGTCTAGTGTTTTTTTCTTTTCTCTATTAAGACATGTCTTGTGCATACTACATCTCAAAATTTTTCAAAGTGTTAAATTAGAAAATGAATCTATTGTTAAAAGTGCTATGTGTCATTTCTAGAGATTATGCTTACTGCTAGTGGACTTTTGAAAATATTAAGGCAAAAATTAAGTGAATGGTGAAATTTTAGCTTTATGACAGGTTACTGGGGAATATTTTTGTAGCTGGAGAGACCTTTCTGGAACTTCTCAAATCCCATTAGGTAGATTTAATTGAGTTAGATCAATATTGAGCACCTACTCACTATGTCAATTGAAATAAGCCAGGCACAGAATGACAAATATCGTATGTTCTCACTCATATGGAAGCTAAAAAAGTTGATCTCGTGGAGTTAGAGAGTAGAATGATAGTTACCAGAGGCCAGGAGGAGTGTGTGAATGGCAGGGTGGGAGGTACAAGCATACACTTAGATAGAAGGAATAAGTTATAATGTTTGATAGCAGAGTAGGGTGATCATAGTTAACAACAGTGTATCAAATTATTTCAAAATAGCTGGAAGAGAGAACTTGAATATTCTCCACACATAGAAATGATAAATATTGGAGGTGATGGATATCTTAAATGTCCTGACTTGATCATTACACATTCTATACATGTGACAAAACATCACATGTACACATAAAAATGCACAAACATGTATCAATAATATTTTAAAAATGGAGTACCTACTATCTATCAATACCTAAGCAATCCTAGGTAATATCAGTGTTATTAAGATCTTGCACAATATATTCTGAATCTAAAAGAGGATATATACATATAACTAGTTTCTATGTATATTAAATACTCTGGTAAAGACATTTAAAGGACAGTTAGCAAACTATTTTCTTGACAATTGTAATATACTCTTAGTTTCTCACTGTATTCTCTTCTGTTTTCTTGTGGAGTCAGGACGTGTTACCCTCCCAGAATTGGTGTGTATTTTTTTATAAATCATAGTTTGGAGATTGAATGGTGAAGTACTTATTAGTAAATGATCAACTGGAGTTCTTTTTCTAAACGGAGAATAGATCATTTGGTCCCTGTGAAGAGATGATTTAGGCAGGGTGCAGTGGCTTATGCCGGCAGTCTCAGTACTTTGGGAGGCCAGAGTAGCAGGATCACTTGAGGCCAGGAGTTTGCGACCGGACTAGGCAGCAGGGCAAGACCCCAACTCTACAAAAAATCTTTTAAAAATCAGCAGGGCAGAGGTTCGAGAGCAGGCTAGACAATATGTCAAGATCTCATTTCTACAATAAATAAAAGAATTAGCCCAGTGTGGTGGCACACGCCTGTAGTTCTAGCTACTTGGAAGACTAAGGCAGAAGAAGAAGGTCAAGCCTGTGGTAACCGTGAGTGTGCCACTGCAGTCTAGCTTGGGTAACAGAGTGAGACTCCAACTCAAAAAAAAAAAAAAAAAAAATCAGGACATGGTGGCACGCACCTATAGTCCCAGCTATTTGGGAGGCTGAGGTGGGAGGATTGCCTGAGCCCAGGAATTCGAGATTATAGTGAGCTGTGATTGCACCACTGTACTCCAGCCTCGGTGACAGAGTGAGACTCTGTCTTGAATAAATGAATAAATACATAATTGAAAATATAGTTTAGCTGAACCCAGAGTTAGTTAAAATACAAAGTTCAAAGAGCACAGTGCCTCATTTCTGATACCAACTCCAAGTTCAGAGGGTTCCCAAGACCAACCTTAGGCTTGATAATTTGCTAGAAGCACTCATAGAATTCACAGAAAGCTATTATACTCACAGCTATAGTGTATTATAGATAAAAGGTACAGGCTAAAATCATACAAAGAAAGAGATGCATAGGATAGTCCACATGTGAAGCTTCCCTTTCCTTCTAGGTTTCTGTGGACGTGCTACGCTCTCAGAATTGACATGTGGTGCTGCTTGTGCCCCAAGGTTCAGTGTTCTTATCGGTGCTCCATTACCTGGGCATGGCTGCTGGATTGACTGCGTAGGTAGTTGAACTCTGTCTCCAGATTGATCCCACATGACCCAAAGTCTCCACACCAAGTCACTTGGTTAGTCTTTCTAGCATGGTTGGCCTCAACCCTGTCAGTCGTTGACCCTAGGCTGCTAGGTAAACTGGTTAGCCTCTCTCCAAAATGGGTGAATGTTTGTCAATCATGTCAGCAGAGACAAAAATATAAGAGGAAAACACACCAAAAGGAAAATAAATATAAATTTCTGTGTTAATTTAGTGGAATTGAGTTTTAAGCTTAGACAAGGTTATGGATTTGGTCATTCAAAATTTTAAGGAAATGTAGTTTCTGCGCTATATCAATTGTTCCAGAGCATATTAAAATCGACAGCTTAATGTTTCATTTTCTGTATCACTCTGATATCCAACCCTCATAAAAGAAATAACATGTAATAAGAAATTGCTAATTAATCTTGTGTTTCTCTATCTCCCATCTTCACCACTTGCTAGCTGTGCAGTCTTGAATTACTTAACCTTTCTGTGCTTCACTTTTTTCATGTCATATGAGTACCTAACTCAGAGTTGTCATGGCTTGATACACTTAGATTTGTGATTGGCATTTTGTAAGCACTTAGTAAATGTTAGCTCATGTGGATATAAATGTCGAAGCAAAAATTCTTTATAAAATATTAAGTTAAATCTTGCAGATTTAAAAAAATTAATTTTAGAATTGTGGGGAACAAATGAAGATTTACTGTATAGGTA